TGTTTTCGTTATCTGTAGAATGACATTCCTGTCAAATTATTTTTAGAGATGAAAATAGGCTACAAAGTTCTTTGTAAACATTAATGCAAAGTACATGTACTTTCTACATTTATTATTAATATTGCTTATTCCTTGTAGACTCAACAGAGTAACCTGAAATCAAATGTGTGGCTAAACAAGCATTTATTTATGTTTGAACTGTTTTTTTACATTTTTGTTTGAGTTATGAACATTATAAATTGATGTACAATTTAGTCAGTACTGCGCATGCGCAGATTGTGCCCACGCAAATAATTGGATCCATTCCTGTCTTTAACGGCATGTCACATGGGACAAAGTTATGAGCTTTCTAACAGCGAAAGAACACAGAGATACTATCTAAAGACTTCTCTAGAAGCATTAGAAGGTAGAGAGAACTTTCATAAGTCTTAATAAGAACCCAGTTGTACTTGCAAGGCGGTGAAAACAATTATAGGAATATTTTTACTCTGTTACGCTTGTTATTGTTCCATTGTATTTTACATGTGCAATCAGGGTTTCCACAAAGCATGCCAATTAAGTCAGCTAAACAGGCTTTATGAAGCAGCAAGCACTACACTACAGTACATTGCAATTTGAGCAACTCGGCTTGAATCAACTCAATTTGACCCAGCATAAAGATATGTACCTGCACAATGTATCAAAAAATTAGATCATTTTTTATTTTATATCGTATCAGTAACAGATGTTCTTGTCACAGCCATTCCAACAACCGGGCCCTCTTCTAGAAACACATGCTATTGGACTCGTATACATGTATATGCATGCCTGCACCACAATATTAATTGCCATGGCCATGGGGATTTAACACTAATTTTTGTCCTGTCACCACTGGCTTCCTATTACTTCATCATAAATGATACAGATATTTTGTGGTGCCAATTAAAACTAATAGTACTGTTAGTCAATGTCTAAAAATAAGGTAGTCTTGGACAAATTTGAGTTTGGGCATTATTTTATGTGACCCTGTCATAATTTTTGCCAATAGGTTTAATACATACATGTATCAAAATACCCATGCCTTGCTTAGTGCTTAACCAGTACAAACATGTGCATGTACAAAAAGTTTCAATTTTCAAGTAGTGTTTTTTACAGTTGTACATGTATAAGCATTTGAACTACCGTAAGTAGTCAAATTTGGCTGAAGTCCCATCAAAAATGAAGTTATGAGCATTTACTTTTGGAATTATTATGGCCAAAGGCCTAATTTTGTATAATTATTATAATAAAAACCACAATAGTGAATAATAATACAGGGAAATGGGAAGGACCATTCTTCACAGAATTTTGCATAGCAGTGTTTTATAAAATTAGAATTTTGTGGAAATCTAAATTTGCTTATGATCAGTTTATTATTTTTTACTATAACAAACTGACGTCAAATTATTAATTATTGTAATAATTATGTATGGTAGCCACACTATAGCAATACTACACTAATTCCATGCATGTGATTTATACTGATGCTTGTGCCAAATTATAATTATTAGAAATATTGCTGACTAAGAACTTTTTATCAAAGTTTTATCAATCTAATTTTTTGTAACAATTATTAATCATTCTGGTTAAGCACCAAAATCATGGAATAGTTAATAAATGAAGTTAATGAATGAAACAAAATTAATCCCTACAATTCATGTTAAATTCTTATAATTGTTATCTAAATTTTATAGGAATTTCCTTTCTACTGAAGATATTTATTACTCTTACATTTTATTTTACAATATAGGTAGTTGATATAGTAAGAGTAACCGAAGGTGCATTTACTGGAAGTGTTTTTATCATCAAAGGAACTGGATTATATTCTATGTTTAGTATTCAAATTAATGCAAAAAATGAGAATTTAGTTGCCAGAGAAGTTAATGATAATGGAGCTGTTGGTCGTGTTTTGGCAACAACTCCTGATCTTATTACAGTTGTGGATAGTGACTCTGGTTTGTTAATAAATTATAAATATTAATCATTAAAATTAATTATTTTTTTACATCCAGGGTATCCCATTACTACAGAGGAGGTGAAGTATGGCCTTAGGGTCTCTGTTTTGGTATTACTAGCTGATCCCAAGCTACTAACAGATAAAGCTATTTCTGTCGTTGGTCCACAAGGATTTCAAATGAGTGACATTGACTACATTGCACCAGTATCACTTTTATAAATGACACTGGTAGTTTATGTGGCTTTGTTTTGTACAATTGCTATTTTTTGATTATATAAATTGTTAAAGAAGTTGATTTCTACTAATTGTACTTATATTTTTAAATTCATTATAAGCTGTACTCACAACACCTAACAAATGCATGTCTGACAGCCAATATAATTGATAATCAGGAACTACATGTATAGTAATTGTTAGTAAGGTCTATTGTGTTATTTACTTACGGTAGATTGTACTTGTAGTTGAATAGACAACTTGTTCTGAAGTGAGGAAGATCATAAGATGAAGAAACTTGCTGTTCTTGTCTACATAGGTGTATATTTGATATGTGTCTCTGGGTAAGGTTCTATAATGTGAGCTAGTTTGTTATCGATGTCAATTTTATGTAGGACCAGTAATAGTTGGCCAATTTCTCTTAGCATGTCATGCTATGAGGTTCAACCTAAAGTTGCTTGTTCCTTTGATTTCACTAACATTGCTAATCAGGACTATTATCTTCTTAAACGTAATACTCCTTTGGAAGGAATGTTTTCTCCTTTTGTCGCTATATCCCACAATGGTGCTCCTTTAAATTATGAAGGCATCATTGCTTATCGTTTTCCTCCAGTGCAAAATGAGTTTGTCTTAATTAAACCAGGTGAAAGTGTTTCTGCAATTGCTTATATCAGTGATGCTTTTAATCTTCATTCTGATGGCTTGTACTCTATAAGTTATGTCAGTCCTTTGGAATTTTTATCAAAGGAGCAAATGGAGATGACAGCCTTTGATGCCAAGATTCGTTATGTTAATCATTTAGAAGTCAGCGAGTCAGTACAAATTAATCTGAAGAATACTCATA